GGGTGTTCTCTTTATTTGGGTTTCTCTCATTTTTTTTCTGGGTTGAGTCTTTTATCTAATAAGTGTGTCTCTTAGGTATTTCCGTCAGGAGTTAGAGCGACTGGATGAGGGCCTGAGGAAAGAGGATATGGCCGTTCATGTGAGGAGAGACCACGTCTTTGAAGATTCTTACAGAGAGCTGCACCGCAAGAGCCCAGAGGACATGAAAAACAGACTGTAATTATCTCACGCTTTCTCACTCTGCCACTCTCGCTCACACAAACGTGCTCAGTTTTTTTACAGATAGCTGCAAGCAGCATGAGCAGGGCAATTTAGTTCTCCTTTTCATTCTTATGGTCTCTTTCTCTGCAGGTATATAGTCTTTGAAGGAGAGGAGGGTCAGGATGCAGGTGGGCTGTTAAGGGAGTGGTACATGATCATCTCCAGAGAGATGTTCAACCCCATGTACGCCCTGTTTCGCACTTCTCCCGGCGACCGGGTCACCTACACCATCAACCCCTCCTCCCACTGCAACCCCAACCATCTCAGCTACTTCAAGTTTGTGGGACGTGTGGTGGCTAAAGCAGTCTATGACAACAGGCTATTAGAGTGTTACTTCACACGCAGCTTCTACAAACACATCCTGGGCAAGAGCGTCAGGTACCAGCAAGGTTTATTCTCATCCATCATGTTTAGGTCTTATTTATCTCTATGTATGTGAAATAAGCTGTTTTTGTTGTTGTTTTTTGTTTTGTTTTTTGTTTCTGTGGTTCATAGGTATACGGACATGGAAAGCGAAGACTACCCCTTCTTCCAGGGTCTGGTCTACTTGTTGGAGAACGATGTGTCCACTCTGGGCTATGAGTTGACATTCAGCACAGAGGTATGGGCTGCATTTTGATACCAAGTACACTTCCTTATTTTGTTATTTCTTTTTTTCTTTTCTTTTTTTTTTGGTATAAAGAAACAGGCATCATCACTTCCTCATATGTTCATAGGTCCAAGAGTTTGGCGTGTGTGAAGTGAGAGATCTGAAAGCCAATGGTGCCAACATTATTGTCACAGAGGAGAATAAGAAAGAATATGTGCATCTGGTCTGCCAGATGAAGATGACAGGTGAGCTTACTTTTCAATGAACATAACTACTAGTGAGGAACGGGGAGGTTCAGGAGTCTATCAGGAAGCTGAAACATCTGTGTTTCTCAGGTGCAATCCGTAAGCAGTTGGCTGCCTTCCTGGAGGGCTTCTATGAGATCATCCCTAAGAGACTGATCTCCATCTTTACTGAGCAAGAGCTGGAGCTGCTCATCTCCGGCCTGCCCACCATAGACATTGACGACCTCAAGGCCAATACAGAATACCACAAATATCAGTCCAGTTCTATTCAGGTATTTACACATAAAAGGACAATATGGACTATTAAACTCTCTGGTCCCATTTAGTAACTTGTTAGCAACCACCTTTTTCAAGACAAGTAAAAGTGGGGTAATGTATTTTCTGTTGTAGAATAAAACAAAGATATCTTGAGCTTGTGTTAACCACAGACCTTATTTCAGACTTTTAACCAAAAACTCATTGACTTCGAAGCAATGGATTCAGAAGTGCAGAAATCCTGACTCATTTCTGGGTTTTAGGGCTTATTCATGCAGCACTCTGTAATTTTAAAGCCAGCAAAATACATTTTCCTGCTATTTTGTACATGGGTTCATGTTTTATTTGTACATATTTTTTTTATTTGTTCATATATTTTGTATGTTTTTTCATGCATTTACTTCACCAGATGTTTTGTCTACCTGGTTTTAATTTTCTGTCCTCATTACTCTCCACAGATCCAGTGGTTCTGGCGTGCATTACGATCCTTTGACCAGGCTGACCGGGCCAAATTCCTTCAGTTTGTTACAGGCACATCTAAAGTGCCACTGCAGGGCTTTGCTGCACTGGAAGGAATGAACGGCATCCAGAAGTTCCAGATCCACCGAGATGACCGCTCCACTGACCGCCTGCCCTCTGCGCACACTTGGTAAATGTACACCGGTGCCTCAAAACACAAATGTTTCCATGGGATGCATTCAGAAATTCCTTAATGAATAATGAGTAATAAAGCAGCTCTAAAATCTACATGCTACATCACATGGCAATTCTGGTCTAATGCACAACCAAAAATGGCTTTTATTGTTTCTTATTGCTCTCTTTCACCTCTCTTATTCTTTTCTCCTTCCAGCTTTAACCAGTTGGACCTCCCGGCATATGAGAGCTATGAGAAATTAAGACACATGCTGCTGCTGGCCATTCAGGAATGTTCTGAAGGCTTCGGACTGGCCTAAAGACTCTCCTAAATCCACACACAGGCACACACAGATGTAGACTTCCATGTTGTTAATTTATGACACACATGCATATTCACTCTATCATACATACGGCCAAGACCTACTTCTAACCCACATAAAACAAACAGATGGACGGCTGACAGAGATGTATTGACATTGCCTATTGCACACAGAGCCTCTCATTGACACACCGAACTGTATTTGGTGTATGTGTGTGTCTCACTTCCCTATTAAAATTACAGAGCCCGAGAGAGGATCACAGAGGATATCTGCGGACTAATATAAAAGACATTTTCTCCATTTAGTTTGGTTTCTCTGTACAAAAGGTTTGGGAGTTTGTTTAATCTTTTTTTGTTCTTCTCTGGCTGTTAAAAAGGAGAGGGCTGTTTTGTGTGTGAAAAGAGTGGTTGTAACCCTCTGGCGGGGGAAAAAAGTTTATTGTCCTCTGTTGCTAATGTGTGACCTCACTAGCTTTGCAAATGGGAACTTTAATTTGGGGGAGGGAAGTCATGGACAAGGGTGAGAACATGGAGTGAGGTATTGGTGAAATTGCAGATGTGCGGGGATTTTCAGAATGGGGACATTTTTAGGCAACTTTTCTGGTATTTTTGGAGAGGAACACACATATTTGAGAAGTGAAGGACTGAGACGTTGAACCGCTGGTGCTCAGACACATGCGGTTATTACCCAACTGCTGATGCAGCCTCTCAGCAGCTAATCAGAACATAAATTGCTACATAAATAAATGCATAAAATGAGCCCACTGTGTCTAGAGTTGTTTCAATGTATGCCTTACACATTTGCACTAACAGGAGCAAATATCATTTATATGTTAAGAAATATACTGATGGAGGTCCATGGAAACTAACGTGACACATGCTGTGGGGTCCAAGTATTAAAAGCTCTGTTCTTCATCCGGAGTTATGTATGAGGAATTCTGTCCAGTTATTGATCACCTGCATGGGTCTCACCATTACTGCTTTGGATTTTTGTTTATCGGCATTTTAGGACAGGCTTTTTAGCCCTTGTTCTTGCCCTCTTCCACTGTTTTTGCATGAGAGCTGGTGTGAAGTGGAATGAGTGTCTCAGACCATCTGGAGCTTCCAGTAATGTCCCTGCTGGGCATCCGTGCTGTTAGGATATACAGTTCATCACGCCTGCTTTCTCCTCACCCCAGACTGCTGGAGTCCACTTGGCTGGACTGACAGCTCTCAACATAAAGTGCAAGATCAAAGGTGAGAGAGGATGTTGGAGCTTTGATCCTTGCCTGTCTTTCAGATGTTTACTTTTGTTTATTCCTTTTAACCCTTTAGCTGTGCTGAAAATCTGTTACCTAATTTGGTGTTCCCGGTCAAAAATGACAAGCCTTTTAAAAACTGCTTGTAAATCTCTCATTATGCTATATTGTCACCCAAATATTAGATTAAATGTTTTGTCAACTTGTTTCCTTTCAGTTAACACGGGTTGTGTATTTCTTTTTGGAACCAAGTTATAGGCCTCATTGATCTGAGCTTAGCACCTCAGTTTTTGAGTGAAAAAAATAATTTGTGGATAATTTTGGCAATGTTTCCTCAAAATCTGACCTGTGTGTGAGCTCAGATCAATCGGTTTCAAAAAGAAATACAAAATGGCCTAATTGAAAGAAAAGTTGACAAATGCCCCATCCACAAAATCTAGGTGTAAAGTGTTTTAATTCTCATTAAAGGTCTATTCAATGTGACTTGCTATAAAAAGAATTTTCCAGGTTGGACTAAAACGGATGCTGTAAACGGTTTACCTCAACATTGTATGTCCAGAAAAACTTCTCATAATATTTGACTAATCAGTTATGACTTTGCATTTCAGGCTGGCCAGCAGGGGGCGTGCAGTGATCTATTATTACATTTACACACAAATACTTAAATAATTTCAAACATTTTCTTACAGGGAAAAATTAATCAGTTATGGTGACCCGTATGCATGTTTGATTAAACTCTGCCTTTTTTTTTTTTCAGTGCAAATGCCTTTGTTTCGCCTGATCAATAAACAAATCAATAGTTATTATCAATAATGTAAGCAGAGTGAAGAAAGCATTTGTACAGGTGTCCTAAACAAAGTCGCTCTTATGGTTTTCTCAGAATTTTCAGTTGTCACAATTATCTTAAATATACTGGTTCATATTTGGGAAAATGTCTAGTGCAAGGCATAAGGCCAGTTCATTAATGAAGTGTGTTTTTTGGGAGGAAGCCAGAGCACTTTTAGTGTAGTATAGTGTGCATAAATCAGCTTAAATATTGACTATCCTGGAGAAATGATAAGGAAGGAAATAAATGGGCTGCTTCATTTTTCAGGCCGACTGAGCGGTAATTAACTTCATGCTCCTAAATGAGAATGTATATTTTAACCTTGAGTAGTGCTAGTGATCATTTCCTGAACAGACGTCCCATTTAATGCTATTATATTAAGGTGTGAAAAGCTTCACTGTATGATCTAGCAAATCATATTGTTTGCAGAGGATGTTACAATTCGTTTTAGGCCATTATGCATATGTAACATTATCAGTGACTGTTTATGGGAAACAATTAAGAGCTACTAAGATTTAAATAAATGTGCTGCTGCTTTTCAGAGCATAATTTTAGGTCTTTCAATTCTACGAAGATTAATTTTGAAGCCGAGTGTTAATGCGATTGAATTAACGGTTGCATTTTTAGTGACAGCCTCTGTCACATTTTCACCGGTTGTTCAATGAATCCCACTTGCAGATGCCTTTTCCCACCTTTGTTGTTCTGCTTCACTTGCTTTTCATCCGTCTGGAAATGGATTGGGAGTCTCTGCTTAAATCAGAGGCTGAAAAAACCTCTTTCCAGTAGCACAGACACCACTGCGGCTCACATGACCTCAGTCAAATTAACTTATGAACAGTCTCTATTCTATTCTTTTCAATTCAAATTAACTTACGGACAGACTGCATTCTAGCAGTGGCCATTATAAATCAAGCACTGGCTTCGTCCTTCTGGTCTACATCTCTGGTCTTTGTTTCCTTTATTTTCATCTCTCTCACTCATTTTTAGCACCCGTTTCTTGTGCTAGTTCACAATAACCAGAGACCGAGAGAGAGAGAGAGCGATTAACGTCATAGCTTGTCCCACTTTAGATCCTGAGGAGACCTGGATGAAAAAAAAATGTGCTGTTTTGTCTGTATTTGTGACCAAAAGACTGAATTAACGAAAATATCATTGTGTTACGCAGTGGCTTCTCTAGCAGATCTAACATCATGCAGATGGTATTAGTAACTGTTACCCTGACATTTCCAGCCAAAGAGGTTGCATATAAATTAACTTTGCAACATGGGACCGCTATTGGGGTCGCTGGTTTAGCTTGGTTATTTTGCGGCTATACTCGGGCATCTAATAGATTAACTGAATTCATTAAGTGGATGTGAGGTCATTCTGATGGTCTGACCTGGTGTTAACCACTGAGTAATTGAAGGGTAATGATGGAGGCAGAGCTCAGTGGCTTCTCTCCAACTCATGAATTATTGACAGACCAAAAGTCCAGATTACTTAAATGAAATGTTTAAAATTAGCGCCATGTTTACAGTTGACTGCATTGTATGGAATGAATGAATGAAAAACTTATATTTTCATTATATTTTTATTTATGATTATGCAGAGCATGTGTGCATGTATTTATACTGTATGTACACACCATTCAAAAGGTTGGAGTTGGTAGAGTAAGGAAGTCTCTTATGCTCACTTAAGCTGCATTTAGTTGATCAAAAATACAGTAAAAACCGTTCGTTCATTCATTCGACCTTGTGTGGGTGCAGGTTTGAATCTGATCTGTGTAGTGTTTTGATCCCAATCCCCTAGTTTTCTCATCTTTGATTTTCATATAAAATGAAATAATTTTTTGTATTTTTTAGCTCCATATGCAGATTGCCACTATTTTCGAAAAGAGCCCAGCTGTTTGATACAGAAATTCCCATAAAATTGGCCTTTGATCATAACGCTGTAATTTGGTTTTTGGTGGTTGACAGTATCTGTAGCCCTTGCAAATCATACTTATTCAAAGCGGCTATTTTGCATGAGCTTTTGTTATTGCATTTGATGGCATTAATGCAAACTGTCAACTCCCTGTGCGATATTTTCAAGATGAACCTTCAAGCTTCATTTGTCCTGCCTGATTCAGGATGTGCTCATGGACCTGTCACAAATTGAGGTTCTTTAACCGAAGACTGGGCATTAGTTTCCGGTTAAAGGGCAGCGACTGGTGTTTTTCAGCATGTATGTGTCATGAGACACCTGCAGGAATGACTCTTCCTGTAAGTGTGGCGCTGCGCACAAAGCCAGAATATGTCACATAACAAAGAGATCAGCTCTTTGTAGAATTATTATAACTCACAAGCACTGACCTTTACTGTATACCTATACACCAGGGGTGTCCAATCCTGCTCCTGGAGTGCCGGTGTCCTGTAAAGTTTAGCTCCAACCCCAATAAACACACATGAAGCAGCTAATCAAGCTCTTACTAGGCATACTAGAAACTTCCAAGCAGGTGTGTTGATGCAAGTTGGAGCTGAACTCTGCAGGACACTAGCCCTCCAGGACCGAGTTTGGACACCCCTGCTATGTATGGGCTTACATTACTGCCACAATTCTGCGCGCGAAAGATCATATTTTGAGCGCACAAAAGTGCATTTTGCACACGCGCGATCTGAGTTTGTGGAGAAAATGTTCGTTTCGCAAAGAAAAAAGTCTTTCTATCGCACGGAAATCAATTTTGCATTTAAAATACGTTTTTGGATGTGTGCAGACCTTCTTTTTTGCACGTGCAACGTTTCACTAGCTTGCTCACCTGATGCCCCCCCTCTGTGCTCGCTAAATGCCAACAGCTTGCGTGCTCAACGCAACCCAGCGTTACAATGTGCCACCTCAAAATATGATCTTTCGCACGCAGAATTGTGGCAGAAATGTAAGCCCATAGCTATACACCATCACGTCTACAGTGTGCTTGCATGCTGAGGAGGGTGATTGCGTAGATAGAGAGATGGGAGCGTATGATAGTTGCTTATTTTCACCTTGCTTGCCACCAGAATATGGAAAAATCTGCCATTTTGCAGCGAGTCCCCTTTTCTCATGAATCAAATTGTGCATGATTCATTTGTCATTCAACCGTGTTCTAGTTTGAGTAAAAGTCTCCTTTAGTCACAATATATCAGCCTCAAGAGTGGCTGAACAGATTTTACTTTTAATTTCCCAGAAGTGATTTCATTCACAAATAAGATGTTTTAAAATAGTTAAGAGGGACTTAAATGAAAGGTTTCCTCTTACAATTTATTTCACTCCTCTCTGCTCTTTGTGTATACTCTCCATATACACTGCAAAAATGGTTTATATTTTTCTTTTTTTTTAAATGTTTCTATCATATTTAAAAATATAAACTTTTTAAATATTTGCATTTTACTTGAGAAGTGGAATTGCATATCAGGACAATATATTTATTGTTATTGTCTTAAGCATCATTCTAACAAGCTTAGTAACGTTAATGCTTCAAACAAAAGACAAATCATTTAAATATTATATTAATATTATTATCTTGTTATACAATACTGTGCATATTACAATAATTTCTGAAGTGTCATGTGAAACTGATAACTGGAGTAATGGCTGCTTAAAATTCAGCTTTTTTGAGAAGTGTTATTTAAAATACAGTATACTTTTACAGTAAGGTATACAGAAATAATACAGTATTTTTTCCCTCATTTTTTTCTTTCCCC